AAAAACATGTATTCTTTTCTTCCCGATTAGCATGTTGGGAACTTAATATTCCTTCTTTCATTCCTTCTTTCTCTGGTCAGCAAATACTGAAACTACTTTTAGTAAAGGTACGTCATCCGGCAGACAGCCCACGAATGTTTTAGCTCAACCATTGGGTGGTCATACGTTAAAGCACCTTTTCCGCATTGATGTACATGATCGCGTTACCCGTATTACTGAAACTGTTGATAACATTCGCTATTACACACGCGTCTGCAGCAGCAATTGTGTGTGTTGCCGTATAATTCTTTCCGACGGTATGATGCAGTCCTCCGTCACCAGCTCCCGGATTGTCCCCCAACGACTTGCTTACTTGCAAAAAAACTAGTATAATATACGTAATTACGTGCAGAGTTTGCGGCACACAGTACGTAGGCCAAACCAAGCGAACTCTACAGCCCGTGCAAGGGAGCACAGATACAGTGTTGTCTGCAAAACAAACACTATCCTTTACAATCATTACCAGTTGCCAGGACATGGACCAGACTCCATGGGCATTGAAATTGTCGAATGTGCTGACAGTTCTACCATTAGCTTATTCCAACGGGAGCATTTTTGGATACAGGCCCTTAATACGGCCTATCCTTTTGGGCTTAACGATTGCATTACTGCTTACGGCAACATATCAGATGGATTGCTTTCATTCGGTATGGGGAAAAACCCATACTTCCAGGCACCGTTACCTCGAAAATGTCGTAGGCACGGTAAACGCAGACCAAGGAATAAGCTTGTTAACCAAGAAACTATTGATTTTGCGCTTGCTTGCGTCATTGATACCCCTCAGGCAACTCGATTTCTACTTAATAAGCTGTACTGTTCTAACAACAATACACTTAAAATGCTCCGGCAATGCGTTGCTACTGGCGTATTGCCATTTGCAAAAACCAGCATTCTGCAAGGTTTCTTACTTTTACGACTAAAAACCGCTTCCACACGTAAACATCGTGAAGACACTTTCTATTTCACTATTCCTTATCCGGGAAATGCTTTCGTTGATCTCAAACTACATTCCATTTTCTATGACACTACAGCAAGACGTTTATTTCCAATACATCCTTTCCCTCGTACCACTGTTGGTTTTAAGCACCAGAATCCTGTAAGTTGTCGCATTATGAACTATGCCTCTTTTCTCCGACGACTCAGTTGATAGACCATTGGAACTTGCTAACTTACTGTCTTCACCTTGTCAATGTACGCGTTCATTTTTCCTTTATGTACCTGCTGGACACATTGTTGTAGATAAATTAAAAATTATCCGTGACCGGCAACTAATAGATGTCATGAGGAAGGAAAACAAATTCAGATCTATGGTTATTAAAACTGCAGACGAAGTTATAATGGATATTTCCAACCCCTTAGATGTTTTCATCTCTGGTATGGCAAATCGCATCGGTACCACTATTCCTGAATATGACAATTTCAAAAATAGGATATCAGCTGTGGCACGGTGGCGAATCCCTAACCGTTGCTATCCCTCTCCTCAAGTCAACGTTGGATTTAACAGAGCTTTGCGTAAGATACACAAACAATTTGTTAAAACGTCTGTTGAGAAAGCGCCAAACAATTACATAGTCATATGCAAAAAATACTGTGCTTTACTGCATTGTAATGAGCTCGGTTTCAGCAGCCCCAACCAGCATCGCTTTCCGCCCAGCAATTGGTCCTCGGCCATCACAAAATTCTAGATAATTTTCAGCTGCATACCACTGGTAGTGACACATCTATCCCCTCCTTCTATGGTATTCCCAAGCTTCGCAAAGACCCGTATGGATATAGATTCACTGCTGCAGCAAATAAATCATCTCTCCGAAGTCTTTCGATTATTCTGCACCGTATATTATTTCATTTTAAGACTCGCTTTCGCAATTACTGCACGCAAACGACTACATGCAATGGACGGCGAGTTTACTTTAGCATTACCAGTTCACTAACTGTGGTACAAAGCTCTCCACACTAAGCAGCACGATCGAATATATAAATACAGCAGATTTCAGCAGCCTTTTCACCAGTCTACCGCATTCTCACATTATTGATAGCCTATTCTACCTTTTTGACCTCTGCTTCACCAATACTGGAAAAGAATACATTGTTGTAAGTAAAACCCATATCTGGTATGCTAATGAATTCACACGTGACGTCATGCCTTACACAAAGAATGTAGTCAAGGCGATGCTTCGGACCGTTCTTTAAGAAACATATGTGCGGTTTAGTGGCTACGTTTTCCCGCAAATACAAGGTATACCAGTGGTGGGTAATGGTAGTCCGGATATTGCCCATCTTACACTATCAGTCATGGAGTACCGGTTCCTTCGTAAGAATCCCCGTACTCATCTTCATTTCTTTCGATATATCGATGACGCCCTCATTGTTAGCCGCGCCAACTTCACTGAAATCGCCAGTAATATCTATGGGCCCAGCTTGCAACTCAACACCACCTACTCCAGACAAAGAGCCTGCTTCTAAGAACTCGAAATTTCATGCCAAGAGGGCAGATGCATTTTCATTGTATACAATAAGACCTTTGATTATCCGTTCACCATAAATCACGGAGCGTATCAGATAGTGAAATGGACCAAACGGTGCAAGAAGGTGTCATTATTTCGCAACTTCTTCGTTATGCACGTGTATGTACTTTTCCAAGGGGATTCCAGGACTGAGCTAAGCGGCTTATAAGTATCTATAAGCAAAAAGAGCTTGATATTGTCAGACTAGAACGCTCCGTTCTCAGATTTTGCTTCAAGAGCTGATCAGTACTGAGTAATTCATGTTCCCTGATGATTCAGAAATTAGACGCTTAGTCAGCAGTCTATTCTCATAAACTACTTTTCCTAATAATTAAATATTATGATTGCCCATGTCGTGTTTTAGCTTCCTTTCTTTCTTTCCTTTCTCACTTAATTTGCTCTTTCACGTTTTAACTTCCCTTTTTTTCCTTTTTTGCTTTACTAGCTCCTTTACTTATATCCATTTCTTCCTCTCATTCGTCTTTCAAACCAGTAACATGGCTATTCAAAAAATGGTGGGCAGGAAGCTGTACTGATGATTCCCACTTCTACCACTGTTCGGTCTGTGTATACAGCTAAGGGGTGAAACACAGATTGTGTCATGAAATGTCTTTCAATTCTTCTATTTCCTTTGAATGACTACTGGTCAGTTTCAGGATGAGGATTGTTCACGAAGAAGAAATTGATGATGCAAATGATTTGGGACATATCAGGGAGCAACTGATGATTCTGAAAAAGTCCGAAGCAAAAATCATTCTTCTTTACAGTACCTTTCATGCTGCGCGAAAAATTTTTCAGGTTTACGCTATTAATTGCATTTATTAGAACGACTCCTAACTTTTGAAATCTCGTGTTTCTCAAACAACATGGCTAGTAACTTTTTCAGTTGCTCTGAACAGTGCCTGAACGTCCCGTAAGCAATCTGATGGAGATTGTGACATTCCTTTCGATTTCTGAATTACATGGGAAGCAAACATGATGCAGATTTAGTTTTTTTTTTGTCACTGCCAATAACAAATCACCATAAAAACAAGTTAAAAAGCGAGAATAAATAATGTTATTTAAATCTTTTATTATTTATTCAATAATTTTGAACTACTGCTAGCCTGGAAATAAAAACCCGAAATTACGTTTTTTTTTGGAAAAAATGAAAGCTGCTGTCAGCACCATTCAGTACTGCAGAATTGCTTGGCTTGCATCTTCGGATACGGGTTCGGTACTGGATTTTACAATCTAGAGATGGATGACGAAAAGTCCTACTCTTTGAACTCGAAAAATGCGCGGATCTGGAAAGAATTATTTTCAAATTCTGTAACAGCTAACGTTAAATATATGCAGGCAGCATCGGATGTTGGTATGCTTGGTGAGCGGTATTTGTGGATTGGGACGCAATCCGTTAAAGGAACAGGAACAAGTGTAGGACGGCCAATGCAGGCAGGCATGCTGACGATTAATTTTCATACTGTTTCAAATGCAATGTTTCCTCCTTACAATGATGTGTTACCGACAGTCATCGGAACAGCCCCCAAGGTTATATACAAGCGTTTCGAAGCGAAACAGTGATATGGTAAAACGCTTTAGCAGATTTGTCAAGACTTCGCTGATGGCGTAACTAGACTTATGGAATGTCTCAGTTCAATCCCTTAAAAATGTTTCATTTTTTTTTTTTTTGAAATTCTTTTATTATGACCATTATGGTTGTGTGTTAGACTAGTGTTCGTACCCCACGCGTGTGTGTGGTTGAGTGCGTATACGTAGCCAACACTTAGTTAGGATATATATATATATATTTATTTATTTATTTATACACATCAAATTATAATTATATAAACTAAAGTGAAATAGGAGAGGAGAAATAAAAAGAGGTGGCAAGAATCTGGGAGGCTCCGGCTCCCCAGAACAAGGTTGTGCAAAAAACCAAAAGATACTAGATCCTGGAGATGGGGAGGAGTGCTTTTATACCCAGGTAACAACAGATCACAATGATTGCAAGACTCTAGAAGGGTAAGGTATCCAAAGATTGAACAGGAGACCAGAGGTGTTGCAGCATTATAGTGCAATGGTCCGTTATACAGTTTGTAACAAAAAGCGATAAATCATTATGTGACGCTTTCAGCTTTTTGGTCTTGCGCTAAGTAAACTCAATCCGAACGAAACGTTTGCAATGCAGCCTGATTTGTCATGCGACAACAAGCCCAGCCAAATAAAGTGGCCTGAGGGTGAAATTATTCACAGGTTCCTCTACGCGTATTAAATGTGGACAGTCATATCAAAGATGCCCAGATCCCCTCTGTATTCCTAAATTTGATATTCTGTAGAGAAGAGGAGGAACAAGAAAAAAAAGAGTGCTGCAAAAAAAGATAAAATTTTTGCCCATACAAATGGCTAAAGTCAGTATTTATTGATTTATTTTGAAACAAAGCGTTAATTGCCTTTTCAATGCTCTTCTGCAGAAAAATGAGACAATCATATGTGAAAGGGAATCCGTATCATGCAAAAGATGGCCTTGACTCATTTTTTTACATCTTCAACGAACACGGGAGACTAAAAGATTCCTATCTGACAATATCCAATTTGAGGACGATGCTTAGCATGGATACAAGAAGCGATATTCTAGTGTGGGATAAGGTAAACATTTTAATGTCCATAATTGTAAATGATGATCGTTTATAACAGGGGTTTTATCAATGTGCTAAATGGGTTTGTGTTTGCCTAAATAGCTGATATATGCGTGAAACTGTTTAAGGTTGGAGAATTCACGAATGACGAACTTCGAATGGCTGATATTGAATGGCCAGGCGGTAAAACAAATCCACCCGTAGACACTGCCGATAAATTCCATTTGAAAATTGTGACGTTGAATGAACCACCATTCATCATTGTTTCTGATGTTGACCCGGATACGGGATCCTGTCCTGGCAGTGGAGGCTCCATATGTTTCTGGGATGTACAACAGCACCAGCAAGATGTCGTCCACATGTTCGTTGACTTCCTTTCGTTCAATTTAAATTCCTACACAGAAAAATGATCTCGGTAAACTGAAAGATACTAAGACCGGTGCTGCAGATCATTTTCAGTTTGGACCATTTTGGGTAAAAGCTATGAGCGTTGGAATTTCATAGCTGTTTGTTTCATCTTAACGCAGAGGAAAAAAATTTTGCTGCTTATAAGACCACAAACTTAAACTTGCTATAAACATGCAAAAATACAGATGACTGAAATACAACAAATAGTGATTGTTTCAGAAATCGAACACTGAATAAATGTTGTTCCGGATACTGCATCGATTTGCTGGAAAAGCTCGCCAACGATATCGGCTTCACGTACACACTATACAAAGTACGCGATGAAAAATGGGGAATCAAATCAGTATCGATTTTTTCCGTTAATGATTATTTTAATGACAAATTTCCGATTCAAGGCTCTCTGTCTTGGTGCAAGAAAAAAAATTCTTTGATTAGTGGCACAGGCTACGAGCATAGCGATGCTTTTTCGTTACAGATCCAACAGACGGTGCATCCGCGTTCTGTTTGTCGCCGACAGGAAGCAATCTTGTTGTTGTTTTTTGGTGCTGTCAGGTCAGCACAAGCCATCACTGACCTTGTGGGTCTCCCTGACCACCTGGGGTTAGCCTTACTAATGGTAATTGATAGGGTGTCGTTAACCCGAGGGAGGGGGGCTCACATATTGGCGGGATTTCTAACTGACTATTTTGCGCGAAAACTCGGCCTTCAAAAAGAGCAGGATGGCTCAGTTTCAATCGGAGGCGTTAAGAGCTAGCGGCATACTTAGTACCGATGGTCTCTTGTTATTTTTGGTTCACACTTTGCTAATGGTTCAAGTTTTTTTGGTTAAGGCTCAAACACTGCCTAACTCGTTCTTACATGCATCTATTTCTCAAAAAGAGGTGAAGGAATTGTGGAGTGATAAAAACAAAGTTTTACCTGCACACCTTAGGAATGAAGAACCTGACGTTCTCACTGGCTCAAAAGTTATCTCAATTTTAAACCAAGGGTTATCAAATATCTACCTAGTGAATTCATTATCTGCGACTCAAGATTAGGGCCCATGACAAGTGGTACTGGATATTCGTCCAAAATGAACCACGATCCGTCCAAAATTTGGAGCACCATTCTTATTCTGTTCTTAATGAAACCGTTCAGTTCAAAGTTGAGAATTTGTGGGATCTAGATCGCACTGAAATCGATGTTCAAGATGAATCGGTGGAAGACACAGAAAAAGCAATGGTGCTTGTTGAGCAATCAATAAAACGGCTAAAGGATGAACATGTAGGATGGCCTTCGAAGTCAAAACAGTTAGACTTAGCAAATAACTTTGGATTGTGTGTCGGACGTTTACAATCTGTTTTACGACGCCTTAGGATGCATCCCGAACGTCTGAGACAGTACAACGCAATTATTCTGCAGCAACTTCAAGAAGGAATCATTGAATTAACTCCACTTGAGCCCACGGGACCGTTCGTAAATTACATTCCACACAGTTTTTATGCGTTTTTGCGGTGCAGCGCTATAGCGCTGCAGCAGGCAGCAAAAACGCATATTGGAACGACCCTGTCACTGTGTGTGTGTATGTTTGTGTGTGTGTGTGT